ATTGAGCAGTGTGAGCGTTTTACTGTGATCAAGTTCATCGTCTGTATTGTCGTCTTTCGTTGCAATTAAATCAGGACCGCTACAATGTGTCAGGATCGGAATTTGCAAAACATAACACAGGACATGATCCGTTTGATTTATTTTCCAGGCTATGCTCCAAATGAAGCAATGGTTTATATTAATAAGACCGACCACTTTTGAGGCGGCGTCAATCTAAATTAAATTTATCGGATAGGAAGTGCCGATTTGGCTAACAATTCATCAGTATTTGTTAGTTTGATCTCAATATTAATGTTCAAAAGGACTGTTCACACATTTCGCCCGGTAAAATCAGATCAACTTCAAAAAATAAATTGTGCGGATATTCCATAATAGTTCCACTTCGACTTTCTTTTTTGATCGAATTATCGGTCCATAGCGTTTTACAAGATGGAGTGTACGCCTGGAGACGCCATGCGGTAGTCATAGCGCTCTGTATCTTCAGCAAATGTTTCACGAGTCTGACCAGACAAGCTTACATAAAAAATGACGTTTTTCAGGCTCACCATGATTATCATAAGCTCCGCCTGCAAGCTCCGATACGCGATCGACCAATTGGCTCTACAGCTACTCAGATCCCGTGACTTCGAGCCTTACCACTTTTACAAAGGTCAGCATACCGATTTCATGTTGAGTATATAAATAAGAAATTTGGACAAGTTTGTTGAAGATATCCTAATTGCTTGGATAACACCTATGAGTCAACGAGATGTTCACAGCGCCGTCCAGCTAAATTGCTGACGAGAGCGCATCAACCAGATGGTTTCAATCGTTCAGCAAGTATCTTGTCTTCCAAATTTATCTCTATAACAAAGTATCTTGAGTCTGTACACGTAAAATATTTTATTAGAACAAACTACGATAATCGCTTCTAAATAAAGAGCTAAAATAATACCATTGTGTCTATGCCAATAGGGTGTCACTCACGACGCGTTTTTTTTTCTATCAGAAAATTATATAAGCTATTGTACCCCGTTCAAATAAAAATTAAACTCTGGCCATAAACGACTACCACAAAATTGATGTCGATTCTGCTACGTAGTGTCGCTTGCCAGCGGGCCACGCTGAGGTTTAGCATAGGCACACAACAGCAACGTTCGCTATGGGTTGCGGTGCCTGAGGGTCAGGATGTCAGTCGTGTGGCCAGTCGTATGCAAACGATTCTAGCTGAGGACGGCACTCTTAAGTCGTTGGGGCTCAAGCGGTTCCATGAAAAGAAGTGGCAGAAGCGGAAACGTAAAGTCGAGGAGCAGGAAATTCGCCGTGCTAATCGCCGGGTTGGATCAATGATTGATTTTATTTTGCGCCGCAAGAATATGTGCGTAAATTGGTTTAAAGTGTAGCTCTTTTTACTGTGCTGAATTATATTTGTGTCTGTGCAGGGGTCATTGAACTTAGTCATGACTCGTTGAGACCTATGCGATAGGAGAAGAGAAGCTTCAGCGTTTGCACAAGATAGGACAAGTCTTAAACACATGGCTAAAATTGCTAATGCAAAACGTCGTCTGTTTATTATATCAAGCGAGCCGTGCTTTAATATCAGCAATTTGTTTCAGCACAGCGCTCTTGCTGGTTCCACCTGTAACGTTCTTGCGCTCGACGCTAGCGTCAAAGTCCCAGACTTCCAATACATCCTCCTCGAATTTGGGGTGAAGGGTGGACAGCTCCTTGAATGTTAGGGCAGACAGTGGCACGTTCTTGTCCTCGGCCAAACGCACGGCAGCTCCCGCAACGTGATGAGTCTCGCGAAAAGGAACTCCTTTGCGCACTAGATATTCGGCCAAATCTGTGGCCAGCATCTCTGTGACGAGAAAGCTTCGCATCTTGTCGCCTTGCGGGGTCATAGTGGCTAACACACCGGTAGCAATCTGCAGGCAGTCTGTGATGATGTCCACGACGTCGAACAGTGCCGTCTTGTCCTCCTGTAAATCCTTGTTGTACGAGCGTGGCAGGCCCTTGAGAGTGACAAGAAAACCATTCAGACGACCCAATACAGTGCCACTTTTGCCTCTTAGCAGCTCGAGCGCATCTGGATTTTTCTTCTGCGGCATTAGCGAACTACCCGTGCTATAGGCATCGGCCATGGTCACAAACTTAAGAGTGTTGTAGATAATGAGATCCTCTGATAATTGTGAAAGATGAACCATAAACAAAGAAGCCCAAAACAGGAACTCAGCGATAAAGTCGCGGTCGCACACCCCGTCTATGCTGTTGGGTGTTACGTTGGCAAAGCCAAGAGATTTAGCCAAAGCTTCCCGGTCCAGACTAAACGAGTTGCCGGCGAGTGCACCATTGCCGAGAGGCATATAATCAACGCGCTTAGTAAGATCGTTTAGACGATCTGCATCACGAAGCAGTGCGGCGCAATGGCTTAAAACCCAGTGCGAGAATCGCAGTGGCTGAGCCGGCTGCAGATGCGTGAAGCCAGGCATAAGCAGGTCAATGTTGTTCTCAGCCAGTTGGTTAGCTGTACCGATGAGCTCCTTTAGGCCGCACTGGATATCAACGATCGTGCGCTTCAGATACAGACGCACATCTGTCGCCACCTGGTCGTTTCGACTGCGGCCCGTGTGCAACTTGCCGCCCACGGCACCGATAAGCTCAGTGAGACGGCGTTCGTTGGCCGTATGTATATCTTCGTCTCCATCCTTCGACTCGAAAGTGCCAGCCGCCCACTCTTCACCAACTTTGTCCAAGCCAGCTATGATCTCGTCTGCCTCATTTGTCGTCAGCACACCGCTCTTTCCCAAGGCGCGCGCGTAAGCCTGACTTCCGTCCAGATCAACGCGCCACATGCGTTTGTCCACAGACAAAGACTCATTAAATTTACTCATTACGGGGTCCACATCGCCTCGAAAGCGACCGCCCCAAAGCTTCTTAGTCACACTTGGTGCATCTGTCATGGCTGTCCAGTGGCACAACTAAAAGATTATTGGCTTGAATTTCAAGTTATGATACGATTCGGATTTTTCGTACATCTTTTATTAGTATGGAAATTAATAATTTCTGGTTTGTGTTGCGGGAAGAAGCAATTATTTTAACTCTACCTAGTGTCCCTTTCGAGGACCATCTATTGTAAATAATATTTATATATAATACTATTATTATTATCCTCTTTCGATTTCTATATGAAGGTGTTGTTTAATAATATTATTATTATCCTCTTTCGATTTCTATATGAAGGTGTTGTTTATCGCTAGTTGTCAGTAGTCAAAGCCGCGTAGTTTTTAATGAAATAGACAAAGTTAAGATGGAGATGTTAGCTGTGAGTGCTCGTTAGTTGAATGTTCTCCATAACACTACTGTATTCAATAATGGTAATGGCGCGGTGAAAACAACAGCTGAACCAGCAAAGCTTGACGCAACAACGGCAGCAATTATAGCGTAGAAAATTAAGAAAAGGGCCTGCTTCAGCGAAGTACGATCGTTAGCTCTTGATAAGAATCTCATATGAAACCTATCTCCGACAAAAGCTAAAACAGCTAGGGGGCTATAAATCATATAAGTTGCGGCAAATTCATTGCAAGCCCTGGTAGATTCAATCACTCGAAACGATTTGCTTAGTCTGTCAAAATATAGCATCTTCTTTTATTGACACATTGGACCTGTCAACAGTGATTGTTAAGATAAATCGTTGCATGGGCGAGTCTAACAGCCTCAGTAAATTTATTTTTTCTCTATACAACTGTCCTCCGCTCACGTCTGTTCCCAGCCGCTGCACTTTACAGGCGGTGAGCCAGAGCAAAGCATCAAGCAACGTTTTTTTGTGCCTCACCAAAACGAAAGACTTAGATGTCTACAAACTGTGTATGCTCTGACCCCAACGGCAAACCTTCTTTTCAGCCTAGTGTGACGATCGACTATCGGAGAAAGTGGGTGACAAATGTGGTTGTGAAAAGTTCGATGAAGATGATTGACGACGACGAAAAGAGCGTCAAGGACCTCAAGCTGCCTTTCGATTCTGTCTTCGTAAGTAGCGCTACGCAAAGCTTGCTTCAAAGCGGGATGCATGATACAAACATTAGCCGCTCTATTCTATTAAGTAACACCGTCGAGAGGCAAAGAACATATCGTCTCTTACGAAGGCAGGCAACATCCACGTACATTTTGTAATATATTTAAGTCATCATTCGGGAAATCTAAGCAATTTGTATGAAGTACAAAAAGAAAGCTTTTAACGGCAACTCTTACTTTGTTTAGTACCCACAAGATAGGAGGAGACAAGAGCTCTTGACGTGGTCTTTCTAAAGCTAACAAAGGTGAATGCAACATGGACAGCCGTCAAATTGGAGAGGACAAGATGATACAAATCAATAACCTGTTACATACGATTGGATGGATTGGTTCGTTTAGGATGAGTCGGCAAAAGTATGTTTTATATGGACAGCTCAATTTTATCACGCGATGTAAGGTCCGCGAAATTTGTGCTAGAAGGGGCCACAAGCGAGCGTAAGAGTCGAACGCCAAAGGATGAGCAAAATCGCCTTGCTATGGCTATCATTAATATATTTAAAGAAGATGATCTGTGCACAATCGGGGTGTGTCTACTCCACAACATTTACTGTTGTTTTGTCCTTCAAACGATCGCTGCGAAGGTCACGTGATTGATGGTAAGGTTATTTTCACAACTTTCATGTAGAGTAAAAGTGGCGTCAACTATCACGTCAATGAAACGAACTTTGGTCGTGGAAATAGCACGTAGTAGCATCTATGGTAGCCGTGGCACTGACGACCAACGTGGCAATCAGTCGTACGAAGGCTAAGTCAAAGGAGGTGCTGGCAATGGTCAACCAAGTTTGCCGTGATGTTGGGCTTATCTGATTAACTTGTTTGGCTTTGAAAGGACGCTATGTCGCCTTTTTAATCGAGGATTAAAACATAAGTGCCCATTCTCTCCCTCGACCTCCTAGGCTAATTGCAAATAATGCTTGAAAATTATACAGTGTGGGGTCAGAAGGCGCTCGTGAAACGACGTTTGCGTGCTCGTTTTGCCCTTAATTATGAGCAGAGAGCCCGCATGTTTACGGGATCCTACACGACGTGGCGAGCAACACGAAGGGATGAAGCCTGCCTGGAATATATACGCGGTGCTGAGATAGATGGAGCCAGACTCCCACTACGCTGTCAACAGTTGCGATAACTCATTCGTTGCGTAAATGCTACTGGAAAGGATTTGGTCCCCTTTTAACAAATTCAGGTATTCTTTAGCTCTGTTCTCAAAGTTCTTTTCATCTTTTCCTCACAGTACTTGTTTGGTATCGGTCTCGTACCGATATTTAGTCCTAGGTGTGCAAGATTGTATTTGACATGTAGCAGCTTACGAATAACAGTGCGACGTGGCATAAGACCTCCACGAAAAGTGACGCGACGCTCCTTGAGCAGATTATCTCATGCGCTGTTAGCTTAATGTCAAGCGTTTCAAACAGTTTCACAATAGGATATGATTACGTCGTCATGGATTCTAGATTTCATGCTCGGAACAATGCTGCTTGAAAGATATTATACTCATAACTACGGCTCAATCATTTATTATCTAGCGGCAAAAAGATTTATGAGTAGTTTATGGTGACAAGACCTCGTAATATGTGGGCACGCAGTTTGATGTTTTTGATATAGCAACGTCGGCTAACGCTTTCAGACGGTTGTCGCGCTGTCAGCAGCCGCAACAACACGTCACATGTTTGCTGGCGTTATTAGACGCCCTACATGACAGCACCTCGACCACCAACGCACATATTTCTCCAGCAAATCCGGGTTCGAGTCCCGGTGTTGGAGCATTGAGCTTCTTGATACTTTTTTGCCACTGCGCTCACACATCAATCGCGGAGAAGACTTTACCCCGCCGTCAACAGCCACGATAACACACCAATCGCAAAACAAACTATCTGAGTGAAATCAAGACAATAGACCACGATCACATGTGCAGACTGAAATTTTTTTACTTATAAGTTGACGATCAACGTAAAGCGTACGCAAAATAATATGGGATGAAGTAGTGAACACGCTTGGTGAAATACCACGATTGTTATCACTTTGTTAAAATTTATTGTGTTACGACAAGGCGTCATTGCTTGAAAGTTTATACGAAACCCTAGTGCCAAACTCGAGATTTATAGTATTAAGTGTCGTGATATTGCAGCTGCTGACATGGTAACGAAAGCCTGGAAGCGTTTGCTGTTGTCGCCGGTTTGAAATCAATTGTCTAGGTAGCTATGACACGCGATGCACGTTTACATTTTGTAAGGTTTTACGACGACAACAGAAGTGAGAAAGTAAAGCCCACATTTTTGGTTGCTGCTTTAAAATCTGGCTCCTGGACGGGACGATTATAGACACAACAACGTAAACCGCAATTTAACTGTTTTATTTTTTGTTGACAGCTGGAATAACACGTCACCTGTATATTTGCAACAGCAAATGTGTCACAGCGTGTCTTAGCTCGCTGCCTAGATCGTAAGAGACGGATCGTGGAATGGCTTGTCAGTCGCAGACTTGGCGCAGTGGACGAAGCACGAGTTTGGTTCGTAATAGAAGACAATCTAAAAAAGTGTCCAGGCGGGAACCCGGCCTCTCCTTGAACTGTTAATGCTGTTCGACATATGCTGTGTCTGAGATCTCCGCGTGCTGCTTATGTGCATCGTATCTTCTGACTACAGCGTCGCGAATGTGGCGCATTTTACCAAATCATTGATATAAAACGGGATAAAGTCTATGGGGGCCATAAACTTATTCATCCAGGAAAAATGCTGGCAACTTTCAACCCTAGATTCTAATTTACTGTATGGCGTAAGCCGGATCGACTTAATGCGGAGACAGATACTCTTCCGTGCCGCTTAAATACGACCTATTGCATATCGCGACGAGTGTACTCGACCGAAGACGATGTCTGGAGCCTCCCTGGGACTGGAGTCACACACTCTTGTATATTGCGCACAAGTGAATGCCGTCGCGCATTGACAAGGCGTTGCTTGGAGGATATACAACGAAAACAAATGTTAAACACGTTTGTTTTCGTTATTGGTCCTTGGTCTAGCAAATTAATGTACGCTACACGGTGGATCACAGAAGGCTAGGCGCATTTCTTAGGGCGTCAGCTATTCAGCATAGAATAAAACAAATACGATGTTACTCTCAAACTCACAAACTAACCCATTGATATTTGCTTGGAGCAAAGCGCAGCCGACGGCGATTGTTGCTAACCGCACATGGAGTTGTTCGCTATTCTTCAATACGAATATTTCGATAATAGGACAAAACGTTTCAAGCATCTATTTAATCAGCCACTCAAAATCAAAATTCTACAGATGGATTTATGGTTAAAATTTAGAAAGAGCCAAAAAAAATTTGAAATTACCTGGGTGCAGCTCTTTAATCCGGTCTACAAACTCTCATGATTACACTGCTCAGACTTGTAGCGTTTACCGCCTCCGCTTAATTTGCAGCTGCCTCCACCAAAGCATGGTGTGGTGCACTATTCGACTTAGTGCTTCTTGCCTCCACCACGGGCAACACAAAGACCATTCCTTTATCTTTGCGAAGTTGTAATCGCAAAAACGTCGACGTCGAGGCGAAAACTCGACCTTTCAAAAAAAAATTAATTTTGTTAACAACGTACATATGTTATGTCCGTTATCTCTGCGTGCTGCTTATGCGCATCATCTCTTTCAACTAAAGCGTCGCGCACTCGGCGCACTTCACCGAACCATCTATAAAAACGTGACAAAGACCATACAGGAATGTCATGGAATCTCCCCAACTACGTACAAATTTAGTTCACCCGTCGTCCTCCCCTCTCTCTTTTGCTTTAGCCTTCTCGAACCCATTCGTCGCGCTTTCTCAAAAGGAATCTGTGATACCTCGCCGTACGGCAGCTTTTAATTTGCTGTCACTGGTGACACCAATTTGAGCCTCGTACCACGGGTCACCGTCCATTTTGCTCGAAGTAGACTACTGCAGTCAATTACAGAATTTCACATTCGTTTTTCGCTTTATTGAGCGCAACTCATTCGCCTCTCAAGGAATTTCTCGAATATGACTTTCGTAGCTAAAAAGTGATGTTACAATACGCCGTGTATTTAGGTACACTTTGCGCTGCGTAGCTTGCGGTCAAAATTTTCGTAACTTTGTGTCAATAACCCCCAGAACTTCACTTTGCACTTTAATTACAGCCCATCACCTGCGTAAACTCAACAGAATTAAGCGTTCGTTTAGTTGCTTTTCGGACTAGTTTCTTTTAATCAGCCAACAACCTCATGCTGTAGCGCTTCCTCCTCACCGGTCGCATTGATCCTGCGTTTGCCTTTTGGCTTCTGAGAAGTAGTTGTTGGTAGTTCTTACATGGTCGTCGCATCACGTAACGCTTCGGTGAAGTCTCTAGCGCGCCAAGCAGATCAGCACTCTCGTCCAAAAAGACTATCGGCACCTCATCTTCCGTACAAATAATAACGCCTCCGAAGAAAGCATCGCTAGGTACGACAAGCCTACGGCTTCTATAGATGAGTGCTGCCGAAATAATTTTGTGCCGCTTTCACCGCATGTCGATGCAAAGAACTGCAAGCATATGTAAATTCTGTCTGCGCGTCCAACAGCTGAACGTTAAATAGATGAACTGGGGTGTATCCTTAAAAGTGGATTATCAACCAAACCTATTGCGCAAGTATCAACACCTGGTTTGTGTTCGGGCCTTGGGGATGTCATGTTCAAGAAGTGTGACACCTTGGTCACCATCCGGAAGTACTCGCTATTCGAAAATTATCTTTTATTGATATGCGCAGACTTCCATTCAACGTTTTCGATCGTAACCTTGACAGCTGAATTGCTAACCGTAGCGCTCAGCCTTTGCATATAACGGCGACTCATGCTCAAGGTACGAGCTCGCGCTGTGTGCTTTAATGCAGTCATGCTCACCTGGTTTGTTCGAGCCGGACGGGGAGCCACCGCTGGAAGTTTATTCTTATGTGGACGAAAAATTATGCTTTGTTTAACATCGTTTCCTCAAGCACAACTGTGTACACCCACGGTTATATCCGTCCATCTGCATACAAGCCAACTAATGTCTTGAACGCAAGTACACTACGTGGAGAAACAGAGCGTGCGCCCGTCACTGTGTCAACGCATGTGGATACTTAAGTGTCTTAGATACTCTGGATTCCTTGTCTGTTACTGTACCGTCGGATGTTGCTTATAGATCTGTTTTGGTTCATCGCCGCCGGACAGACCACGTAGCTACACTCTAGTTGGGGTGCCATCTTCTATGCTCATCTTGGCCCGCCTGTTTGCATCGTAACGGTAAGCTAGTAATGCCTTGTGCGGTTCTGCTGATGTACCTGAAACGAAGGTGGAGCAGTACTCTCAACAGGACATATACCGCACCGGGGCTAGCTTATCGAGCCGGAAATCATGTACCATGTGACCCGGCTTTAGACTGTTAAATCCCACCTGAACTGAGTTTCTCATCATTAATTCCTCTCAACTGCTATAAAGCTGTTGTTGCGAGCGGTTTTGATAATATATTATCATCGGATGTTGATTTGAGTACCGATGAGTCTGATGTTCATGAGGAGATTCACGGTTTCACAACCGAAATGTCCGAATGTCACTCTAAAATGTACAAGTTAGGACAGTCGACATCTACAGCAAGTTCATAAAGACATATGTTCTCAGCTTCTTCAAGCATAGAGATATGACGGCGACTATTTAAGCCCAACCTGCGTACTTTCGTTAGCTATGTAAGATACGACTTCAACAGCAACAATTAATAGTGACAGATCATGCAAGATTTTGCTCTATCTGCATAGCGTTGATTTCGACTGGACAACCAGTAGACTTGTTATCACGGCTGCTCTCTCATTTTGACAATACGTTTTTTCAATATCGACGTGATGTTAATGAGAATTTTTTCGGATGATGATGCTCATTAGCAGCTTGATACTGCGCATTAAGTTTGATCCAATCTTGATGCTGTTCGCATAGTCTATTTACTGAAGGTACGAGCGGTGTTAAACAGCCGGCTTTAAAGAGGACTTAACAAATGGAGCGATCATGATTTCGGTGAGAATCACGCATAAAGATCCACGTTACCACGCCTTCCCTAAAATATTTGAGCGACCCCGCGTTATCTACTAAGGTTGAGACCGCGCTATCATATTTGATTCACATCCAACCTTAAAAGACTTGGGCCTTTCACGACATTTCGGTCAACATAAATGCGGTGATGAAGCATTCATTCAAAATGTAAGGTCGGCTTCTCTCAAAGCATATTTTGGCTGTACTTCATGAGACAAGATTTACCAACGAGGTTTCTATGCAACCTAACGAGCAATTCATTTAAGCAACGGACTTTGGAGTACACTGCTTTTGATCTATTATCAGGTCTTCAACATTTAATGCACGATATGAAGCTGGACTTGTGTCGCCTTCTTCCGCTCCATTCGGCGAGGTTGTTGACCTCACGTCAAGAGCTTTCAAAGCAGAGCGACGGATGTGCTATTGTTTTTTTACAACTTTTGAGGTGAATCACTGAACTTAGACGAAATGTATGCACTTGATGAACCTATGTTTTGTGAAACTTCTTTTTGAGCTCTTCCTCGTCATTTCGGGGCAATATCTCGCGAAGTGGTCCTCAATGAAAATATTAAACACTTTGTCGTATGCGACTTCAACATTACTACGAATGGCTGCCTCGGTCAGACGATATCTGATCGGTCTCATTTGAGACGAGTTCGAGGTGAACGTGACGATTGGCTTAAAACTCTGGATTTAATTGATACCTGCCATTTCGTGAGCCCAGACATACAGGCTACACCAGCCCACCTCGTAAAAAATGATTGGATTATGTGAGTTACTGCTGGTAATAGTACATGCGCAATGAAGATCACATACCGGTTGCAGTATGCCCTGTAATAAGCAGGTCCAATTCTGAGGACATCTACCTTGGAGATGCTGAACTTGGATTGTACGGGATTTAAAGTGCAACAGTATTTAGAAGTTTCAGTCCCAATACTTGCTAACAAGATCTTCCCGGATTAGAATTCCGATTATTTCTAACATAAATGGACAGTCTGTATAAACCTTCGACGGCGTTGACAGGAACTTAACCAAGCAGACGAGCGGACGATTGTAGCAAAGGTTAATGCAGTCAACGTAGCTGCTGACTTGGTCAATTTTATACCGCCAAAATGAACAGAATCGCGTCGGAAAGAGTTTAGATGGATCTCAAGTTCGACAGTGATGGCATCAAAGCACAAAACGAGCAGAAAACGTTTGCTGCAGATTTCAACTCAGACGAACGAGCAAAAAGTTACTTCTTTCGGCAGCCCACAGTCAGATTGTATTCGCTCGCTAATCACGGTGATGACAAACGAAGATGTCATGGTCACAGACGATCAGTCAGTAATTGCTGATGACGAACGGTAATATTGGGCACGATCTTTACATCCACTTGTCAGATCAAATGTATTAATATTAAGACACTTCAATTTTCTACACTGCTGCAACACACAAGGTTCCGGGTATCGAAACTATACTAGACGCCCAAAAGTAGGAACGCATTTTGAAAAGTGATATACAGCTGCTAGTTAGAAAAGGGAAAAATGACCAGGTTTCAAATCAAGGGCAACCTATAAGCCCGGTGATCGCACAATATTCGGCAGCTACATACCACTCATACTGCTCAATTACGACGCTTAGCTACAACCAAGATCTTACAGCGGCGTTTGGGACAGCTTTTACGGTGTACCGTGGACTAAAATGACTTCATCCAGGGACGGTCTATCCGCCACTTATTACTTCACTTGCAGGACTTGCTAGAAATCATGTTTTGTATCCATTGAGTAGTTAAGGCGCTTGATGGTGTTTTATGACCAGCTTTGGATATGGTACTTCACTACTTCGGGTTTGGTGTGACAAATAGTATTTGGGTAAATTCTGTTAGTCTTCTGCTGCATGGCTGTCCAAGTGACCTCTTACTACTACTGGGTGCGGGTATGTTGACGACGCGGACACTCCCATTTTCTAGTAGCTTTTGCTGACGACTGCATCGGAATGTTGTCGGATCTCGACGACATCGATGGGTTTCAAAGCCTTGTTAAGGGTTATGCGGATACTGCTTATTTATGACCCAGCGTTCTAAAGACAAATGTCATACCGGTGCACACCATGAATCCAATCATGAGTTTGCACAGATAAGAAAACGAATTGACGTCAAGTTGTTGACACCGTGGGAACAGTACAGCTTCTTAGTGAAACACGAAGAGCCACTATACGTCGCCTCTTCTAATTTTCTCTATTAGCTATTTGATGGACAGAGCGACTTTCGATCAAATCTCTGCGCACTTGACTGTTATCTCATAGCATTTCGCACCCGTCAATTGCCTCGCACGTCTGGACATAGGGTCTGCGCAAATGTTGATCTTAGCTTCATTTTCTTTGGATAAGTCTCAAATCACTTGTTGACATCGTTGCAGGATTTCATAGACAAGGTTTTTTATGTCCGGTAGGAGTAAGCCATTGTTAACAACATCTTTTTGACAGTGCTCTAAAGCGAGACTTCAACAGCACCAAATTTATCGAGGCCATGCTTGCTGATCAGTCAGATAAAAACAGCATAAAGGCTTGTTTATTTACCTATCATGATGTATGTTTCTGGCAAAGGAGTGAACATCAAAGCAATAACAAGATGCCTTGGTGATTGACAGCATAGATGATTAACAAGACAGATTTCGTTAAGATTGTGGCTAAAGACAACGACCGACCACTTCGCCAGTTAAACTTCAGATCCCATGTTGGTGTAAAATTGCAAGCACCTAAATATCTACCGTTGGATTCAAAGGATCCTAAAACTTTGATGATGCAGACGGTCAGAGTTAGATTAAAAAAGGACTTCCGTGTCGTTATTGTTGTTGACCGTCACCTTGTTTGCCATGTGATATTTTCATGCGATTCTTCTATCGTACATCGCTGCACTATCCTAATGCCAAATATGCCATAACTTGCATAATCATTTCTCGTCATCTGTCTACCGCTCACGTTTCTACGATCAAGTTCCGTGTCACATATGAATAACTTTCTTAGCGTTGCTGATGACGTCCAACAAGTGCGTCATTTTCCACCCATATTTGAATAGCGATTATGACTATTCCTCTCTCAGTTGCTAGAAGTGCATTGTTTGACTCTACTGATGAAGTCGCATAGACATAATGTTGATCATCCAATGCAAAGAAGCAGTAAATTAAAACTGCAGGACAATCCAGTTACCACCAAATGTAAGTTTTCCTCAATTTACCATAAATGAAGCTCATACTTCATGTGCTAGCAGCAACGTGCTTTCGAGCTCTATTCAAAAGTTGATCAAGTCGATTATATCATGTTATACGACGATACTTGCACTTTAAACTGTCCAGGGCCTTTCTTTAAGATGTAGCATTCATTGCGTAAAATATCAACAAAATCACGAAAATCATCCACTTTGAGACCCATACTGTCAGCAACTTCAAGCAGATCTTCCATCGAAAATAATGAATTATTTCGCCTGGCTGCAGCTTTCATTAATCTTGCGACGTAAGCTTTCACTTTCTTCGCTAGACTCATGCCTCCGCTCCGTCCAAAGTCAAGATTTCCATCCTCTGTGACATATGTGTCCAATAGACATTCTTGCATAATGTCGACAACGTCTAGCGCATGCTCAACTAGAACTGTCTCAGCCATATCAGCTCGAGCACGAGCTTGTGACAATCGTATCATAGACTCGAGCTGGCGCGTCGTGATTGGAATACTATCTCCCAAATCCGGCTGACCATCACCCGCTGAACGTAATTCTAAGTACTTCTTTTGGAGCACTTCTGCAGCCTCGGTCGACAAGCGTGGATGGACGTAGCGGCGGGCATACGCGATATATTTACGTACAAAGTAGAGAGGAATCAAATTTATATCAGACGCGTTCTGGCAAAGACGATGTGCTAGCGTACAACGCACGGGCCCGGAAGTGCCTTCATAATCGATTCCTGGTAACTTGTCACCATGACTGCTCGAGTTCCAGCTATTTGTAGCCATGCCATCGTCTCGCGAGCGCTTGTTTGACTTGCGCAGACGACGCGCATGTGATTTCATAACATGCTCTGAAAGAAGTCGGTCTCTTTCTTCGTCTGGTCGGTCTAAAAGGATAAATACAAGATCAAAGCGAGACAGCAGTGCAGCTTTCATTTTAAGATTTTCTCCAACCGAGCGACTGCGGTCATAATGACCACCGCTAGGATTAGCCGCCGCAATCACCGACGTTCGTGCATTAAGATTACACACAATTCCTGCTTTTGCAATGCTGATACTCTGCTGCTCCATGGCTTCTAAAAGTGCCTGATAATCTATTCCCATTTTGTCAAACTCATCAATACAACAAACACCTTGGTCTGCAAGAACAAGAGCACCAGCTTCCAGAGCATAGTCTCCAGACCCATCTTTCACCATCGTAACAGTTAATCCTGTTGTCGTGGTTGTATTGCCACCAACATACACAGCCCGAGGAGCTACCATAGACACAGCCCGCAACATCTGACTTTTTCCCAAACCAGGATCTCCCACAATTAGTACATGAGAATCAACTCTGCGCACGCCTGAGGATTCTTTTTCGTCTGAATTGCGTGCTCCTCCGAGTAATGCCAAGATTAAACCCGCTTTCACGATATCATTGCGGTAAATACCAGGGCACAGCGAGTGTACTAAATGGTCAAAGACGTTACCCTGGTTGACGATAGAGCTTATTTGCTCCAAGTCTTCTTTCGTAAATTCAATGTCTGACGCTTTGTCGTTACTTTTATCCGCCTATGAAGAAATGCGAGCAAATTATACGTGATTTAGCGAATCGATGTTTACCAGCAAAACCAACAGCTTACCTTAGCGAGGTTTTCCACTGAATTGGCACTGATGTACAGAATGTAAAGACTATTGGCTTGAGCACGCTTGCCGTATCTTCCTTCGTTGACCTCCGAGTTGATGCTCTTGACAATACCAGATATTGTCACCACATTACCAGGTATACAAGAATCAACCAAATCTTCGCACAATTCTACCTCGATCTAAATAATTTTTTAAGGTTTCTTCGTAAAAGAAAAAACATATCGCATTCTACAACGACTTACCATACGCGGCATACGACCAGGACCCACATCAGTTGTCTCCATTTCCTGAAGTCTATGTGTGTGAATCAGCATTGACCATTTCGATAATTTTGATCGTACTTACTTTATTTTCTGATAGTCCACCGTATCCACAGACGATCGATTCGGTAACAGATTTCGCCCTCGGCATGGTGTGTTTCCACAACGTTGAGGTGGAGCGAACTTTCCATCTGGAAACGCTTGAGATGTGGCTTCATTACACTTGGCACAAACAAAGTCGCACCTTGTGACCAACGGTTTGATAGCACTCACTCTCACCACTGTACCCACAACACTCACAAACTGATTGACAACGTCAGCTTTTAATGCTGCTATGGGCATTATCGGCTTCACCCCGTACAATCGAGCCGTGATCTTAGTTCGATCCAATGGAACACTGCGTTTTCGTATTAAATCTTCTTCTGCTTCGACACGAAGCTCATGCCGACGCATACAAAGTGCAATACCAAGACAAAGAAGCACATCCTCGATGTTTTCGGTCATCGCTTGCTCAAATTCTGCCGTCCCCGTGCGAATAAGTTCCGTGTACTGTAGCCACACAACAGTCACCTCGGCCTGTGCTAAATCACACTAATTGTATGATCATTATTATATAATCTGTCACTGATGTAAGTAGAGTGAATAGATTAGTACTTGAAGAAGTGGTGCCCATTGCTCGTTATCTCGAAAACAGGTAAGGAATGTCAAAGCAGCCTGGAAGCGGCCATCAGTGTCACTAATCAAGGTATAATACTGTGACGGACGGGTTTCGTCCGGTTGACGAATACCAATGTTGTGGTCTTCCGGATAGTACTGATTCCAGACGCAGGTTGCAGCCTCAACGAGGCTGCTTGGAGATGAATTCCACCGCATGCAAGAAGTTAATAGAAGCGAAACCATTGATCGCAAAACTGAGTGTAAATATGTGTTTAGATTCTTGCAATATTCGTGCTCAGAAGTTGTCAAGGGAAAAATCATGAAATTGTTTGGGTCTTATAGAAATAGCAAAATTTGTACAACAACTACTGATTTTCAAGCTCCTTCCTAGCTTTAAGGTTCTTTTTAAGTGGAGATGGCAAAGCACGCTGACATGCAATTTTGCTTCAGGTTTAAGTGTCAGTGTCTAGCCGCAAAGACAATAGAGATCATCGAGGAATTCTAAGCCCGAGCAAAATGAGATGAATTTCGAAAATATGTATACAAAACCACGAAAGACAAAAGGTCGAATGTGTAGTATTATATCAGGAGTATTCGATAGTCTTTGAATCGTCCGAGGCCAAGCTAATCTCTCTGATTGGGAGTCAGAACGTGTAATGGATTTGCCCCCAATATAGCTGGTGGCATATCAGTCCGATCGCACGATGACCTGGCCTTTCAACCTGAGCTGGCCAAGTCGTTAGGAACATTTTCCGCACCTAAGTGGAAGGCCATTGGTTCATGACTTGAAGATGGTAATCTTGCGGTAGATCCGCTTTTATGCAATGACAACCAGTTTGTCACCCAAGAGGTCAAGACAATAAAATTCGCAGATTCACGCGCGCGAATGCCTCAGTCAGATGCATTATTATGTCGAAGCATGGAAGATTGATGATATATAGGAGGTGAAAGACGTCAGTCATGTGATGTTGAAGTAGCGGATCCGCACATTCAAACGTTGACGAGGATCAACAACTAATATATGCAGTGTCTTTATTTGTTGTGCGCCTACTCTACTGGCCCGAAAGCAATGATCTGTGTAGCAGCGTAGTATTGCCACTTTGAACCCAGCACGTTTGAAAACATGCATGAAGTCCACCGTTGGATGGGTGCCCAATAAGGTGGTTACACTCGATATAAGAGGCTTTGAGATGGATGAACTAATGGCAGCCCTGCTGGATTGTGGAGCAACCAAGAGTTATCATTCGCTCCAATTGCGTGGATAGTTTTACAGCCGCTGTGGTCGTTGGGAAGAAGGTGACATTAAATTGGCATGTAGCTGGTAAGCCACATGTCAAACGTTCGCGGAATCGCATGCGTTACGCACACAAGAATCTCAAGAAAAGAATTGTGGTGTTTGTAATTGCAGCAGGGCTGTCGTAGTTCTTTGCTTAGAGGAAGCTTAATATGGTCACTGATCTTACGTTCTATGATAGAACCAGTACGAGTGTAGCGGATCGCAATCCACTAACTCCAACAGTACCCAAAACTATAAACTAAGGCAAATGTACTTCTTCATTCAAAATTAAAACTGTATTTATCTGTTTTATTTGTGGCAAGGCCGCCTATGTCCAAAAACCTTACATTTCCTGATAAAATAGTAGAACCTATTTAATATGCATAACTACTGGCAGTCTTGCCACTTGCTACGGTGTAGCCACACCATTGAGTGATTACACCGACTTATGTCATCCACACCTTTGTACGGTCACGCCATCTTGTTTGATTCACCCTTTCATACCAGGGTATGTGTAACCCTGTTATAGTAATTGACAATGATGAAATGTTTGATCGCTTCTTTGCTGTTTTGCCTAAACGCCATGATTCTAGGATCAATTTGGTGAGTAGCCGTCGAAGGAGTTTTTTCGTCAAAGATACTTTGTGAAGTATTCTCAAAAGTAATATCTGCTGCATTTGCTTCCTTTCAAGTGTGCACTAGCCCTTCTTTGTGAAGTGTTGTGGGTTGGACGTTTCGACTGCCAGCATCATTAAATAAACAATCACTCGAACCCCAGTTGAAAAATCTGTGAGGGCGATATCGTTATCATCACCTCTTCCAATAAGAGGGCCGTCAGCTTACCGATCGGAATCCCACTCAAGGGAGACCGTCGGCATCAAGTCCTTCCCACTTGTGCACAATAGAGAGTATAGCCTTCGCTGTTCTGGATCGAGGACATGACTTTCACATGGTCTCAGTACCCCAATAATGATCAAAAACTCCAGTATGTCAGCCTGTCCATTCCATCAGTTTCAGTTTTTGGGTTGAAATAAAAGATACCCCAGAGCTTTCAAGAACGATCTCTGCCATTTTGAGATTAAAATAGAGTTGGTGATCGACGTTCTCGTATATTCCACATCAGTCGGCGTCAGCGAAAAGTTTTAGCGTAGAAGCGATTCGATTCAGATTGACAGAGGACAAGGTGAGATTTTATATCTTCTCCGATAAAGCTCCAAATAATTTTGCTGCCAGATTGTGGGTTCGACGCGAGAGCTACATCGCCCTCATAATGCTGCAGGGGTCACCTTCCAGGGACCAAGTCAAATTTAAGTTTTTTTCGATTTTGCAAGTCAGCAGGACATGCTATAGAACCTACAACATGCACTTATGTCCTGAAAGCTCGCCCTGATATCAACCGGAGCTCTATAGCTATCATCGTTCTACGACCACTCCGCGGCCTTCCGTAGCAATTGTGAGAGAGAGTACACTAATTAAGCGTAGCTCGTATTGTATTGCAAAGCTACTAGCTCTTACTACTACCACAGTCGCTACTGATAGGTATTTGATTACATCGGCATGGCGCAGAAAATACCATCTCATTAAAAATTGTAATTGAGAATATCCTCAGATTGGATGTCTCATAGCCTGATTAATCTGACGCAAGTGGCCGCCATGAACTTCCTTTGAGATCTTCTCGCTCTCATCCTTTCTTTAGGCTAATGTATCAGCGTATCAATTCAATGCAAGCATACGATCTGACTTAAGCGTGTGCAACCAACTATCCTATCGAACGTGACTGGAAGATAGTTGAGAACCTATATGATAACCAGCTATCTCCATAGTATCCTTGGGGTGGCAGGGAGGCCTCAAAACAATCGCTGCGAAACGACAGATACTAATTTATGTTTCTTGAGACCAAGTGATATCCTATGCGTATTTGCAATTCGATGCCCATGTATGTGATCGTACTATCCGCTATTATATTTGACAGCTACACGCAGCTGAGAATAAGTCCTGGTTAATGACATGTAAAGTTCTGGAAGCATGCCCACATAAGTTTCGAAAGCCCCTGACCGGCGAGTAAAAGTGTGTGCTTTATACGGACAATAATTTGCTGCCGAAAGCAAACAAGTTGCTGCACCTGGTTGAAAAAAGGGTCAGTGGCTGTCATTTCTCCCTCCTGCAGCTTTGTTTTACATTAAAAGTCAGAGAAAATTCTCTTTTCACAATTTGATTATGATCGCAACGTCCCGAAAAATAGACTATTGACGCATTATGTTTGTGCCCGATACCGCTGGTGATATATGCAATAGACTTGGCAATCACTTCTTTGCTATTTTCCTCAGCAAGTACGACGAAAGCGTTAAAGTTTTATTCAGCGCAAGGCCAACCTTAGGAATGCAGTTGCAGAACGAAAAGGAATTTTATTACATTTTTGTCAATGCATCATTCGTTTTATCCATGATTTGATCACCAATGCGGGAGATGGACAAGAGAAGTAGACAGATTCGGGTGGAATTCATTTGAACTTAAATGCAGATTAGAATGTGTCAGAACGCTCAAAGTAGAGTATTGTAATGCCTCGGTGATGACTTTATTGCCAAGTTAACATGGAAACTAAGCTCGCATCCTGTTGGACGCTTAAAATACATATTAACTTTTAGCTAAATAATGAACGAAGACATTCAAAGATGTTTGTAGCGATGCAGTCAGTGTTTTCATCGAATGGGCCTCTATTTTTTAATCTGCAAGAACATAGTGTGGCTTTGGTTCAATTGCATCGCAAAATCAATTTGCGATTGGATCTACAAATTTGCGTCAACGATGTCATCGAGTGCGATTGTGGTCCATGACAAGGCAGACCAGCACCGATGGCCATGGTTGCTGGTGTTGTGGTGTTTGTGCATCAAAACCCAGCTTACGATCGTGTTTACTGTCTGTTGCTAGTGAAGGGATAGAGAGAACGCCGAAGAATGTCGGTTGCTGAAACGCTGGCATGATTCGTTAGCTGTATTGGAAGCAATGACTAAATCATCTAGCTATGAATAGCGGTCTCGTCACTGTAAAGTGTTCAAGGCTTGTGTGTATCTTCCCCCTTTATCTTCTAGCTGTAAATGATGTATACGAAAGTTATTGGATAAATGTATGAAAAACGCCTTACCAATCAATCAGTAATGTGATATGAGGTCTTTTGTCTGATATGGGCTTGCAATGGATGCTACTGCCATGCAAAACAAAGGAATTTTGATAAACTTGATCTCTAAGTCGGTCGGGGGCTCGGCATATGTAGCACATGTGAGTTCGTTATGGGCTTATAGTCTAGGACCCAGACACTCATCTAAGACACCGCAAGACGTGTAATTTTGTAGAGAGATTCATTAGACTTGCTGCTCACACAGTGCATGCGGGTATTTTAAATTGAAATTCCCTCTACGCGAGCTGTACACCAAATGGGGTTGCGAGCTGTACACCAAATGGGGTTGGTGTACAGCTCGCGTAGAGGGAATTTCAATTTAAAATACCCGCACCAATTATAATGATTAGGCGGTGCAAACACCCGCGGCAACTATCGCCCCACGTTAAAATCTCAACGTACATCCAAATTTGCATCTTAATACCCATTCTCGCAAGTGACATACTAGCTTCATGATCGCGATCGCGCTGTCGCTGCGTTTAGGGCATAACTAAATTTATGGCCATCCCACTCCTCCTCGCTCAGAGAGAAATATCCTTTCTGTTCCAGCCTTCAAAAAAGGTTGAACGATCAACATTAATGGCCCCAAGTTGGAAGGCAGCTGGGTAGGAGTAAACAAACACTACGCTTTTGCGCTTGCTAAAGCGGATATTTTGAGTCGAAGCTTTTTGAGCTTTTTACTAAGTCTGAAGAACATCATAAATAATTAAACGGCCGGATCGCTTGATGTAATTTGAGCGATGTCTTCGACTTTTTGCGCGACATTGTCCATGGTTTGCTGTAAAAATCGCTTCATTTTCGCCACTTCGTCGCTCTCACAGGCCTAACAAACATCGAACGCAGATGTGAACAGCCGGTACAATGTTCCTGGATAGGAAGATGCTCTATACGAAGCGAGTAAAAAAGAAACGCAAAAAATAGTAAAAGGCTATAAGTATACAGTTAAAGTATAGTATCCCATTTGGTCTCAGATGCGCCGGCTCCTTGCGCGAGCCAAGACCAATTCTTACTTTAACAGGTTGTCGTCTTGTAACGTCAGCGTTTTCACTCGAAATGAAACGATGGAGAAGGAAGCCACGGACACTTGCACATCCGACACCAGCCCATTCACCATCAAAACCTCATCTATCGGCTGCTTGGCTTGCCAACGACGCTGAAATTGGCATCACGCGCGTCTCACCTCCTTCAACAAAAAGCGAGCCTTGGAGCTACGAAATCTCGCTGCGATTTCCTCAGACACGCAAACTTTGGCTCGTACAACGTTCGTATGCTGATTTTCAGCGTTTTCACGCCGTTATTGAAATTGATTTCCACGATGTACTTGATGCTGGTCGCATTTATTTGCCTAAACCATCAAGACGTGGATGGGATTCGTTTCAAATGCAGTCAACTCAACCTGCAGCTGCCGACAAGCTACGAAAACAGTTGAATAGTTACTTGCATAAACTTCTGGAGATTGATGGCGTCCATTCTTCCGACACATTTCGAGATTTTATGACACCACGATCCGAATCCAACGATAGCGAATGTGCACAGGAAGGTTACGAGATCCAATTAAAAGAAAGTTTAAGTTTTCGAAGGTCCTTGCGCTCAAGTAGCACTACTAGTACTCGTACAACCAGTTCTCGAGACAGCATGGACGGACTATTACTCGATCTAACAACGGCATTTCCGTGGCGAGTTCCACCACCCGCTGTTGCACCCTCAACATGCGACAATGTAGTGCATTTTGGCGGCACCATTGCTTTAACTGCTTTAGGTGGTTTGCCCGTGGGGCTGACAAAGCGTAGTGCACTTTCTGGTCCGCAAAAAGTAGCAGCAGTAGCTGCTGGAGTGGCTGGCGTAGCACTTACAGGACCGTTACCCGCCGTGCTCGCTTTAAGTGCTTTAGGAGGAGGTATGGGCAAGCTTCAGCTCAAAAAAGCCTCATACCTCAGTATATGCAAACCGTTGCGTAATGATAAACACGCGAAAATTCAATTTGTGGTTGAAAATGGCGAACAATTCTCTGGTCCACGTCGTGCCACGTGGTTTGGAGATGCCATTCACTTATTCTGTCGCAGTATAGGCAAATCAATTCGAGTTATTGCTGCACCTAATTCGAAGCGAGGACATGCTATGGCAACTGGTGGAGACTCTGACAAGACAACTGTGAGATTTGTATCGCCATACGGATACACAGGACCACTTCAGTGCGGTAGCCAGGTGTTCATACAACTTGTAAATGGCGAGTGGGCTGGTCAGTTTCTTGGAATGTATGGTGAGCTTCTTATAGCAACGAAAACTTCTCCAGTTGTATTTCAGTTGGAATCAAGAAATGCAGGAAATGACACACATGACTGTCCAGTTGCAATGACAAAATATTCCAAAGACCTAAATCGATCAACGCTGGTACCAACACCGACAGTATATCCGTTCAAATTGCGAATTATGGTGTACAATGTTTGGCTACTGCCCAGCATTGTTTCATCTATTAACGAAAAAGTGTCACCGTATGCCCCACAACGTGCTTCAGCCATTCCCCGCTGCCTAGCGCCAATTGATGTGGATATCGTTATATTCTGTGAAGCATTTTGTAATCTTTCTCGTGATAAGTTGGTATCTGGGATGAAGTTGCACGGATTTCCTTTTGAGACAAAAGTTGTGGGAGATGTTTCACTTTTAGGCTCGAAAAAAGCAATTGATGGAGGGTGCTTTGCCATGAGTAAATATCCTCTCAACAATTGTCAAGAAATTATATTTGGTAATACAGCGTCAGGTGAAGATCGATATGCTGACAAGGGTGTTGTTTACTTTCAAGTACAAGTGCCAGTTAAGGACAATTCAGGCTTTGATGTGACTCAAACGGTTCATATCTTTGGAACTCACTTACAAGCGTGGGAAACTCGATCTGCCGTTGCTGCTAGAAATCGCCAATTAACTTTAATGCGTGAATTCGCGGATTCGCTGCAAATACCAGAATACGAACCGTTACTTTTCGCAGGAGATTTAAATGTTAACAAGCACGCAAACGGTGCTCAATCACCAAATGGCGAATACACAGAAATGCTGAGTTTACTCAAAGTTGATGAACCACAACTGCAGAAACAGTCTCCAATCTACAGTTTTGATCCGAACACAAATAATCTCGCGGTCGATGGCCCAAGCTCTGGGGGTATAGCAGAGCGTCTGGATTATATTTTGCTTGAGCGTAGCCATCGCCAACCTCTTTCTGCCTTCACAGAAATTGTACAACTGAAAGCTACAAGACGCTGGACATCACCTCGTGGTGTCAGTGATGAAATTGTTGTTGATCTGTCCGATCACTATCCTGTTATTGGAGAATTTCATTTTTAATTTAACATCAAGTTTTTTGTATTATGATCGGGTCGTAGTATTTGCGTTATATAAAAGTTAAATATATTCACTGTACATGGCATAAAAATTCATACTATCTGCGTATTTTTTGATAAATTATATTCTTGTCATATTACATTGACCTTGCCATGCCTTTAAAGCGTTTCTGATCTTCAAGGCTTCACGACGCTTCATTTAATATGTGGTTACAAACCAGACTGATAACCTTTAAAACTAATACAGTTACAAAAACTTATAACATCAAATTAAAAAGTATATAAGTACTATTGACTCGTAATATAGCAAATACATGATAAATAATAACTACTCAAATGAACCAATATTGATATTTCAGCTTTGTCCAAACTTTTCTGTCGCCACGTAGAAGTCCGTTGGCATTCGTTATGAAGTTCTGGTTGTACTCGAGTGCGAGCCTAGCGGCTTGCGTAGGATTATTATCCTATACGTACATGACACGGCAACAATTCTACCCATCGATAATTTACCTAATGACTTCCAAGGTTAGCTTATTGGTCTTAGGAAATGCAGGCCTCGTTGTCACAGCGCTATTGGGGTGGCTCTTCAAGATTGTTTTTCTCGGAGTACTTCGGGATTCCGAAGTGGAGGTAGGAGAATGTCTAATGCGTAACACACACCATTATACTAATCTCTTGCTGCACTGCGAAATTAAGCTACTTCATGAGAATGTGCGTTACGCAGTAACCGAGACGTGTCTGGCGCTCACGATCTTTCGCGATGAAATTTCTTTTTACGTCATGGTTCTATTTACGGCACTTGTCTTTCTTAAAATCTTTCACTGGTTGGCGCAATTTCGAATTGAATTTGTACGTGACGACTTGTTATACTCTTTTTATAAAGCTACAATTCAAACAATTTCTGGGTTTTGATGTTTAGATCGAGCAAACGGATGTGGTCTCTCGACTGACTTATGTGCGACTTGTGGTACTTATGGGCATCCTTGCTACTGTGGATGCAGGATTTGTGGTATGGTGCTCACTCAAGCTCTTGGATAATGGTCCTTCGGTTTTTATTCTCTTTGGATTTGAGGTAAGCTGCACGTTTTGATACACTGTCTGACAAGGTAACGAACGCGTGTATATTATAGTTTTTAATCCTCTTGGTGACAATTGTGACCACATTCTTGCGCTACGTATTGTTTGTGGTGGACTCTCGGATGAATGGTGCCTGGACGAATAAATTTACTTACCTCTTTTACCTCGAGCTGTGGTCAGAGATTACAAAGCTAGTCATCTACTTGGTACGATTCGTATTGTACATAATTGCTGTTTGTTATTGACGTTCTAATACTTTTGTGATATTAAGATCTTTTTCACGCTAATCTTTACACTCTATGGCATGCCGTTGCACATTGTGCGTGACCTCTGGATGTCAATCAAGAATTTGCAGCGACGCATTGGTTCGTATTTTCGCTACAGGAAAATTACTTCGAATTTAAACGAGCGCTTTCCAAATCCTACTGCGGAAGAGCTTCAAGAGACGGACAAGACATGCATTATTTGTAGAGAGGAAATGACTCCAAATGCGTGCAAGAAGTTGCCGTGTTTGCACATTTTCCACGTTGACTGTCTAAAAATGTGGGTCCAGCGCCAACAAACGTGCCCGACATGCCGCTCTACAATCCCTACGGGCACTGATAGCACTAGTACAGCCTCTCAGGAACCTGCGGCTCGTGGTGAGCGAGCTGTTGGAGGGAACAATAACGCTGAAGCACCAGCCAACGCTGCTGACGGTCAACCACAACCTGCGCCTGCTGCTCCTCGCTTTCGGTTTGCTGCTGCTTTTAGACGAGCAGCACTACCCGTCACTCAAACCCCAACTCCTGCTGCGGCAACTCCGGCTACTCAACCCACAGCTCATGCTGCTCAAGCAGCGACATCTCCACCTGGAGCAGTCCCTGCTGCTGTACCTGGTCATCCATTTGGCCCAGGGTTTCTAAATCCTTACATGTCACCAATGATGCTTGGTCCTGGTATGGGTGCACCTTTTGGCTTTGGGATGCCAGGTGCTTATGGTATGATGCCTCCTTTTGGAATTCCCCCAATGGACCCTATGCTAGCCCAACAAAACGGATCGCACCAGCCTCCCATGGACCCAGACAGCATTCAACGTCATATTGACCTTCTACAAGCTCAGCTGGCGGTACTACAAGCGTCCACAGCGCAGGTTGGCGTTCCCCACCAGACGCAAGCTATACCACCGCTATCTACATTGTCGCCCACAGTCCCAGCAGCACCAAACAGCACATCGGCTCAATATGTTTCACCTGCTTCAACAACTTCCATTCCTATTCCAGCTATGACTTCTCAAGTTCCACCTGCTGTTGCAGCTGCACATGAACCTTTACAAACCGTAACAAATGAAGCAATTGGTATGAATGCATCATCCTTGGAAGAAATGCTTGAAGACAAATGTCCTATCCCGGTGCAACAGAAACATGATGCGTCAATTGCTACCACTGAGTCTACAACTTCCCTTCCTGTAAATTCTGAGATTCCAGCAGCAGCATTGACCGAAACTGAGCGTCGTCGTGAGGAATTACGCCAGCGTTACAGCCGCATATATGGTAGTTCGTCAAAGTCTGACGGTGAAGAAAAGAATATTGAATGATTAATGCATTTGAAAGCTCATTTGACACCTAAGCTTCCTACGTGAAAATAGTGTACTTTGCTACTGCATATGCTCATCCACTTAAGTTTAAGTGATGATCAAAACCCCGTCCAACTTGGTCACACTCTTGTCATATTTTATATTCTCGTAGCAAGACCATGAACGCGACAGACCCTGGAGCGCAGAGCGTGCATGGGGTAAATCCACAGACACTTGTAGAGAAGATCATGCGCAATCGTATCTACGCAAGTACTTACTGGAAGGAGCAATGCTTCGGACTTACAGCTGAGACGTTGGTGGATAAAGCTGTAGAACTCCAAGAGTTTGGTGGCACATTTGGCGGTAATCAGCAGCCTACACATTTCCTGTGTCTTTTGCTAAAGATGCTGCAGCTACAGCCTGAATTGGAAGTAGTGAAGCAATTTATTGAGAATGAGGATTACAAGTACGTCAGAGTGCTTGGAGCCGTGTATTTGCGTTTAGTAGGAAAGTCTCTGGATTGCTATACGCTACTAGAGCCACTACTTTGCGATTACCGCAAAATTCGCAAGCGTAATGTTATTGGCTGGGAGATCACGCATATCGACGAAATCGCTGATGCACTGCTTACTGAAGAATATTACATCGATCTAGCGTTGCCCCGATTGATAAATAGGGAGGTACTGGAAAAAAATGAAGGCTTGGCTCCAAGGAGAAGTCCGATTGAAGATGAGCTTGACAGTGACAGTGCCAGCTCGAGTAGTAGTGATGTAGAGGATAAAGATTAGCAAAGCTGCAATGAAGATGTACACAATCAAGATTGCTGAAAGTGTAGTACATGCTTCAAACGTGCGGTGCAAGAAAAGGAAAATTTAAATTCTGGTGGCTAAGTTGCTTTTACAGTGGCTTAGACGCATGTTTTGGGAAATGGTAAGAGACTTAGAATAACCGATAAGCTGAGCTTCGAATTGATACGTGCTAGCACTATTTTTTTAACGTTTGCTTCGATCAACAGCTATAAAAGAATTTATATGACCAGCAAGAATGAAAATGCGTGTTACAAAAGCTATCAGAAGAATCCTATCAATGAGAGGTTGCAAAATAGTAAAAACAGAAGGCAAGAATTTGTAGTAGGACTGATGACAATGTAGATTCTACTTTATGGGTAGCCGATGTGTCCGAGAGCTTTACATTGGAAAGATACGCCAATTCTCTGACCGCCGATTTAAAATTCAAAGGTTGAGCACATTTTACCTCTTCCTAACAAGTCGCAACGCACTGCGCCGTCAGAATACAAAATACTCGTTCTGTTGGCGTGGGCGTTTAAGCAATTTCGAGACACAAAAAATGTTACATTAGCTTATAACTGTGACTGTTGCATGTTTAAAGTGTACAGGCGTAGCGATGGACAAGTTTATAGTGCATTTGGCCTCCGCAACCGGTGTGAAGGTGTAGATGCATCCAACTAACGCAATCATGTCGTAAACTGTCACATAAAAAACTGGAGGCATGATGCAGCGGGGCTGCCGCAGCCTTTTGCTTTAAGGAAGCTAAGGGTAGGTCACCGACCTTACGTTCTTTGCAAGAACCAGTACGAGTGCAGCGGGTCGCAATCCACTGCCTCCAAGAGAAATAAATCCTTAACAAAGGGAAAGAGACTCTTACATTCGAAATTGAAACTGTATGTAGTTGAGTACATGTAACCTCGTCACACCCCCCATCTAATTGTGATTATTTACAGTTCACATTTAAATGTCGCCTCATACGAGGCTCGCGAGTCTGAAACGCCGATACTTCTTGAGAACATCTTCGAACATTTCCGCTCAATGAGCCCTGTCTATGACACGAAAAACGCTTAGCCTAGCTGGCTTCGAGGGCGTCCGCAGGCAAAGCCCTTCTTTTTCTGCACGGGGTGCATCTTTGGACCGAACGTTCACGGCTTCACGGGAAGCACACCCAAAGCCCTCGCGCAACTGGGCGCCGCACACGGCGTCCGCCACGGGCGACGGATTTCTTCGTTGAGAATTTGGAGGAAGTAGTATCATTACCAATCGCCTCGGCGAGTCACATGAGCAGCAGTTGGAGGCTGCCCACTGGGCGGCTCTCATGCGCTCGTATCCACCTTCGGTCCTATACCTTCGTGTGGAATACGTATTCCTCTTGGCTGGTCCTGCTACTGAAGCAAAAGACGCGATTGCTCAATCGTTAGGCGTCTACGTAGTTAGACCGCGGGCCACTACAAGCTGAGCTTGACCAGCAGAAAGCTCTCCCAGCTTGCATTTTGGAACCCCAAGAAATCCCAGTGGATCGGTACCGCGCTCGACTTTGAGATCAAAAAGGAGGCGCTCTTGTTCCCGCAATGCGGACTTTTCCTGTGAAGCTCGCCCCTGGCAAAACGACTGCAGAGGATAAAATGCTATCTGAGCGATGGGTGCAGCGGCACCGAGCAATTTCCACACTGTCTAACTTATAGCAGAGCCACGAGGAAGTAGACGTGCGCGTAGAACGCCATCTTCGATTTGAGTTTGCCAAACTCAAGGCGCAACGCCGACTTCCTGCATTTTGTCGCCCTGGACACACGAAATAATCTATCACGCTCCGGCGAGCTCTGTGGGCACATTCAGGTGTGGCTACGACCACAGCAGCGCAGGACCATAGCTTGAGCTCAGCTTATGACTCTTCGGTTTCCTAGGCTCATGCCGAGATTCGCGGCGCTCACGACGTCGTGAATCGTCATAATCCTTCTGATCATAAGCGTCCACGACGCTGGGCAGTCTTGCCAAAATGGCACCTCAATCTCCCACGAGTGCTTGGAGTTTTGGTATCTCCGCCACTTCACAAGATATTGGGTTTGACCCTGTCGACGAAGTCGACACACATGTCGTTTCACGTGGTTGTGGATTCCACCATTCTCATCGAGAAGAGTCGGCGGCGGACGATGACGATTGGTCGCTCGCTCGAGATGCTCTTTGAGCGTTAAAGAACAAAGTCCGAGGTCATCGGCACTCTGCCGAGCATCATATCGAGGTCGCCTACCGCTATGTGTAAGACTTCGAGAGCCTGGAGCACTTTGTGCACCGACTGCGTCACATTGAGGATTATCGCGCTCTATCGGAGCGACTCCTAGCCGTCGAGCAGGCAACGGTGGAGCGCCTTGCGCCGTTAGAAACGAAAATCTTTGCGCTTCGTGCTCAGATCCAGTTGCTGGTTCGGTTTCTGGGCGGCCGAGCGTCTTTCGGCGTCGCCCCGGCGCCAACGCTTCTACATTCACCTACGCCAGACCCCGTACGGCCAGCGTTTATAAACACCGGGTGGGTGCACATCCTTCTCGGAAGCTTCAGCTTATACGCAAGGTCTCGCTTGTCCACGACCTTTAAATCGTGGACGGAGCTTTGGCTTAAAGGCAGCAGAGACTGCATGTGCAGAAAGGTTTTAGCATTTAATAAACCAGGACCCCGACCTCAATGTTTCCCACATTTTGTCTTCCTCTTTCGTCTGGATATTTGTTTTGCATGTCTTGGCTGTCAGCCATCGCATCGCGAACGTGTCGTACGACACTCAGTCTAGTAGACAGGTAGTCTTTGACTTCTTTACGCCTAGTAGGGGGCTGACATCAGCTGGCCGCTCGGTTATTCCTCCCCCATTCCTCCCCACCAAGCTCTGGGCCATGGATGGCGTCGTCAGCGGGACGCGAATAATTATAAGCCCGTTCACGTAGAACGGCGTGTAGCCGGCATATGGACGCACTGCATTGTTCAGCGCAAACCCTACGAGTGGCAGTATGGTGCTCCAGCGCTTCGGCGTCCCAGCATAGACGCTGCAAAGAACGTCTTCAGCGATGCAAATCACGCGCTCAGCTTAGCCATCGGTCTGCCGATGGTCCGCTGTTGACATAGTCAACTTGGTGCCCAGTAGACAAGAATTTCCACGTGAAGCGCGGGTCTCTATTAGATACAATTACCTCACGGAGTCCATGCTGTTGAAAGACACGATCTACAAATGGCGTCGCTGTACCCACACCGTCGATGGTGTCTGGCACTACCGCAAAATTAGCCATCTTGCTCAAACGGTCCACAAAGACCACCTCCCCCGTGTTGCCCGCCGAGACCTCTGGCTGAACAAACACAAAGTCCATACTCATGGACTACCAACACCCGGGGCAAACTGGCCAGCGGCGTCGCCGCATTCGGAGAGGGGTTCACCCTCTTACACATCTCACACGTGCGCACAATGTGCTCTTCCATTTGCACAGCTTGAGCCACCAATAGTGGCAACTCACCGAGCTGTATGTTCTCTCACGACCGAGATGCCCACTGGGTGTGGTGGCGTGGGCTCATAGAGGATACGTATTTCAAATCTTCATTATGAGGAACTACAATTTGTGGAGTATTTGTCGAATCGGTGCTATAAACAGCAGCCCGTTATTCAACGAATATCGGTGTAACCGTGCGCGCGAATGCGCCCTCAGATTCTTGTCCGAGTTTCCAAACTCCTTGCTCCCGAGAGCTTGTAGCAGCGCTACACACATACCATCATCCGCATACGGGGTGCGGATCAAAGCCGGAACTGACGACGTCACCGTCGTGACAAGAGCAAGCTCATAATCCGGTCTCCCTGATAACGCATCAGCCAAAGCATTCTGCATTTCTGGTTTTTATTTCGCCTCGAAGTTGTATTCTGCAAAGAATGAGAA